CTTCTTAGCCCATTCTGGCAGGTGATGACCTGGTCTCTCTTCCAGCCTTGTTTACCTCCTGGTGAAACAGGGTGTCTTTTTTTTTTTTTTTTTTTTTTTTTTTTATTTTTTCCCAGGGGCGGGGGGGGGGGGGGGGGGTTTTTTTTTTTTTTTTTTTTTTTTTTATGTACATGTTCCCAGAGGCAGGGGTGGAGGAGAGGGTACTTTTTTAATTACAGCAACTCTCAGAGCTGCTGTAATTGAAGTGCCTAGATGGTCACATGTATCAGCATTCCTCCACTGAGAAGGACTGCCTCCACTGCCATTTTTAACTAAAGCTTGGATGAGCTTTAGTTAAAGCACCCCTGCACCACTTTTCAGAACAGAGATGCTGATGCACATGACACAAGTCTGGGGCGTGGTAATTTACCATGCTCCAGGCAACTCAGTCAATTGAGTCTGCTCTGAGGCATTACAATTACAGTGCGTCGGAGCAGCCTCAGTGTATGCATATAGGTGCCCATGGTGTAGTTGAACAAAACCAGCAGTTTCTTCAGTGCAGAATGTGTTGGTGCATCTCTTCAGCAATGCAGGTTGAAACAATGTCAGACCTGTTGTCAAAATGCAGAGTGGATAGCATATATAGAACTTTAAGTCAAGGGTTGAATGGCATGATGCTTTTATTTTCAGGGCACTTCTTAAGGTCCTGGATAGTAAATGACCTAAAAGTCGGGAAGAACACTATTTTAAACTCTGCTAGTCTCCATTTTACTTAACCTGTTCTTCTTCTTCCTCCATGCTCCTGTATGGTTATCAATGATAAATCTTGTCCATTGGGCTTTACTTCTCTGGGGTTGTAACAAACTCCACTTACTTGTGGACTAAGGACCAAAGTATACCTTGCTTCCTTTCACTCCAGGTTCAGGGCATACTAGTCTGCCTTCTCTAACACTATTCCTAATGTAAAAGGGATGGGGGGAGTACTCATATGTTGCTCACTTGGGAAGAGGGAGGGCATAGATGCATGACAGATGTTAGTTACTTCTAAGCTACTACAAGATGGTCATATTCTGAGCTTCCTGTAGAGGTGCTTGGTGGGAAATTTGGAAGGACCAGTTCCAAGTGGGGAAAATTCCCATTGCCCATTCTGCTTCTTGCTGTCAAATAGTGATGCCTCCAAAGGTCAATGGTCTTCTCTAAATGGGCTCCTTTTACTATTCAAGTAAGTACATGGGATCTTCCACCGTAGGGGTTTTGCTGGAAACTCTTTGGTTTCTCAAACCTTGCTCCTGGTACTTGGGTTCACTGAAGCTTTCAACTGGTTTCCTACATCTGGTAGGCTTGTAGCAGTGTGCATCTGCATGTAACTTTTGTTTTGTTTTTGTTTTTTTTAAGTGAGCAATATTTTTAAAGCCCATATATGGTGTTTAAGGCTTCCTGGTGTTCTCTCCACTGCTCACTTCTTCCCTTTCTCTCTTCCCCTCCCCCCCAGCTATTTCTCTTCTAGAGCTGGTAAAAGTGAATGACCTTTTAATTTGGGGGGGATAAAGGCAAATAAGTCTTGTATCCTGCTTCCTTGTGAGGACAAAAATAATACTACTAAATTTTAAATACAAAAATAACTGTAAGATGTGCCTGAAATTGGTATCTATCAGCGGTGGAAAACATTGAATGCATTCAGTCCACTTGGCCTTAAGTAGGAAACACAATGTGAATATTACTGTAATAGGAATTGCATCACTTCTTCATGGAGGAGAGAATCCCCTAGATATGGGAGACTGCTGACTACTTGAAGCTAGCAGATCCTTGCTACTATTACAAGCTTTTTTCCTCCTGTTACAGCATTATAGCAACTCTGCTGTTTTGGAGGCCCTTGCATAAATTGCCTTAAACACCTTCAAGGGTAAAGAGCACAGTTGTAAAGCTTCCTCAAGTTACAGCAGGTGAAGCCCTTTTTTTTTTTTTTTTTTTATTAGAAGGGCTTAGTTTGAGCCTCCCCTCCTACAAGAAAGTCATCTAGTTACTAACAAAATTTGTGACAGTTGGGGCCCTGTCCTGGATGTTGAGGAATCACTTCTTGATTTGTGCATTTTAAGGCACAATCTAATGTACTTTAATAAATATAGACACAAGTCACACTTCAAACATCCTCATCTTTCTAAAGTTTTCATTCAAAGCAGCAAATTTGGGGTGATTTTTTTTTTTTTCTTGATCTTTATTTTGTTAAGTATAGAGGTGGACTGATGAAGGCTCTTTTTTCCTTTCCTTTAAAGCAGCCATATTGGCCACTATTGATCTGATGGCTCATGCAGCCTGGCAGCTTGGAGATCAGCATCTGGGGCAGGTCAAAGCTCCCATGGTAAGGGAGGGAGGCAGGTGCTGCCCAGCTAGGGCAAAGTGGGGTGGCCCATCTCCCAGCTGTTGTACGCATTCTCTGGGGAGGCATGTGCCCCCCAGATTCGAGCATGGGGCAAGGGTGGGCTGCCTGCTGAGGGTCCAGGGCTGCACCAGCCTCTTCCTGACGGGAAGGGGGGGGGGCTATGGGGTGACTGGCAAATTTTGGGTGGCTGTAGCAGCCTTGCAGTGCTGCTGCCTGCCCCAAGTGCAGCCCTAGCCCAGCACTTTCCCTTGGAAGAGGCCAGTGCAGTCCCTTGCCCCAAGCCTGCAGCAGGCAGCCCTCCCTTGTGTCCCATGCACAAATCCAGGGGTCATGCTTCCCCTGGAGGTGCACACAATGGTGGAGAGCTGCTCCTGGACAAGCTGCCCATGGCTCCTGCCCTGCCCCACCCCAGCTAGGCAGTGCGTGCCCCAGCCCCACTCCTTACCATGGGGTGTGGGGGGCCTCAAATTTCCCGCTCCCTGCCCCCAACTTACTGGCCAGATGCTGCCGGGCTGCATGCATGCAACATTTCTTGGTGACACTATCGGCTATACTGGCCAAAAAAAATGCTGATTACTGACATCAGTAATTCCTTTTATCGGTGCTGATCCAATATAGATGCACGTACTTTGGTGCACCAATGGGAGTAGATGCTGCTAATAGAAACAGATTAAATTGTGTGTTCCTAATACTGTAGCTCCTAAAATGAGCTGCCTTCTAGGCCCCAGTCCACTAGTATCTCAGTTAAGCTCTAGATATTGCAGTGATCCAAACACTTTCTGACATTTCTACCAGGCAGGGATAGATGTTACAGCCAAGTGCAAGGGGTGTATCTAGGATAAACATCATACAACAGCTTTAGCCATTTCTTTCTTGCAGCCATATCTTTATTTCTGGCCTAAAATAAGGATTTAATTATGGTTATGATGATGAACCTTCAGTAGAGGTAAATTACTTGCTAATCAGTGTCACACTACTGCTTAGTCAAGACCCCCAAACAAAAGATTGTCTCGTGTATCTGCCACAGTGCTCTTTGGTTTGGAAATCATTGTATTCAAATAGCTTTTTCTGATTCGGTCCAGGTTTTTTTACTCTGTTCCAAAAGTGATGGGTCTGAGAGAAGGACTAAATCTTTTCTTCTTGCTTATTTTAAATAGCCTTCAGATGCTCATCCTTCAGGAAGTACCTCCATCTCTTGAATGCTTTTGTTTATTGTAAAGGAGACTACTATAGGGAATTGGCTTCATTTGCCAGTCCTGATGCAGGTTTAATCCATTAGAGCGGTGTGGTTTGGGTTTTTTTGTTTTGTTTTTGTGTTTTGCCTTAAATGGGATGTGTACTCAGTGGCTTCCTCATCCAGCAAGTCCAACCTGACAATTACCTCTAGTTAAGCTTGACGGGCAACTTTTTTTAATTTTAGCTTGGTTGGGTTGTGCCCTTCCCCAGCCTCTTTCCCCAAGTACAGACATTAGGGGGCGGTTAAATTTGATTCAGAAAGACTGACTGCCCAATATTGGCTAAATCAGGATGGGGGTGGGGGGCCTGCCAGGGAGGAGGTGTCTGTGTCTCCCTTCCTCCCCCCAACTTGCTCTACTTCAGCAGTGGTAAAGGCTGATAAAAGCAGCTGCACCCAGAGCAGGCTTGTGGGATGATAGGTGGCTGGTTGGGGGGAGCAAGGGGATGGGGGGGGGGAAAAGAGCAGGCTGGGGCCAATGGCTAGGTTTTTTTTTTTTTTGTTTTGTTTTTTTCCCCCCTCTGGATCACTATGCAAGGCAAGTGCACATGCACTAGTTTGACCTAGTCAAATAAACCTGGATCCATATAGTACCAGAAGCTTATCTTAAACCAGGTTCTGCAATTTTTAGAATGGTTTGTGTGCACGGAACTTCTGTTTAGTTACAGGTTTAGACTGAATCTGGAAGTGGAAGGTAAGTACTGGGATGTGTTAAGTTGTTTCTTGTTTTCTTTGGGGGTTGTTTTGAAATAAGGTAGCCATTTTTAACCCAATTTAACTTCCCCAAATGTCTGTACTTAACTCCTTGAATTTGTTTGGTTTGGTTTGGTAATTTAACACCTGCAAGAACACCCATATTTTTGACTCTTCAATTCAGTTCTTGCGTTCTGCTGTGAAGCAGCACAATAGAAATTGGCATGCCAGTTCTCCTTCACTCAAACCTTGTTCTTGTCAGTCTGTACAGGAAGACTTTTTTTGGCAGGTAGTACAGTATTGAACGTTACAATACTGGACCAAAGCCAGGCTTTAGCCAGTTATTACTCAACTTCCATGTAGCTCTTATTTGATCTGGTAAGCTTGCGTGTGTTCTCTTTTATATGCTTCCTCCACTCCACTCCAGCAGACCTTGATTAAATATTTGAGTGCTTGCATTCATTCTTGCTCCTCCACTAAAGTAATTGGAAATACCCCAGTTTGGCAAGGGCCATGTTTATGGGAATGCTTAGTACAACTAATGTTTGAAGTGATGTTGATCCTGTGATGGTTCAGGAGAGATGTGAAGGACAAGAATTCTTGTGGATGACTTATCATTATACCATTCATGCATTTGATCCGGTAAGGCATAGGCAAGTTTTCAGGTGGAAGGATATTGTGATACCTGAAAGCTTGTCTGTCTATACCAACCATATGGTGGTGGTGGTTGTTGCTGTTATAACAATAACATCTTCTGGAGATGTTATGGTTGTGGATAGACTTGTTGAAGAAACTACCAGTGATGGGGAAACCAGTTTAGGAAGGGGATTTCTGCAAAGGCAGGTACAAACGTGTATTTAATGTTTAACTTTTTTTTTTTGTATTGGGAGACTTTCATACTCATTGGGGTCTTGCTTTTTTGCCTTCCAGGATCTCAGTCTGCCCAATGGCACACCTGTAGACACTTCTAGCCCAGCCTCCTCATCCTCACTTCTCAACAGATTGCAGTTGGATGATGACCTAGATGGGGAAACTAGAGACCTTTTTGTCACAGTTGATGATCCTAAAAAACATGTCTGCACGATGGAGACCTACATCACATACAGGGTTACTACAAAGGTATCTCCTTTTCTTTCCCAGTGCTATTTAAATGTTTTGGCAAGAAATTTCTCTTTCAGGCTTTCCTGACTTGCATGCTTTCTAGGATTCTCTTAACTTCTAGTCCAGTAGTGACAATTTTAATGCTTTTTTTTTAAACTTGTTACATTGAGGAGGTATTTTAAATGATTCTGTAGAGAACAAATCACTTTGAATATTAAAATTACAGAAAGCTTGTTAATGTTTTGGCTTAAATACTTTTATCTCTAATGGCTTTCTGAAACTCATTGGTATACTCTCCCTGAATTGTTATATTCATTTGTCTAACTTCTTTTCCCTTTTTAAAAGAAAATATATTGTCTCAATACATAGCGTGACCTGAATTGTGTATGAAAATGTTTTAAAAACTTGTAGTTCAACTTGCTTCTCTCCTAAATAATAAGAAAAATGCTTCTGTATTACTGCCATCACCTGTCACTTGTGTGTTGACTCTCTTGTACCTGGATGAGCCTTGTGACAAACTGCCATATTTACTTGCATATGAGATGAAGTGCTTTCTCCCCCCCCCCCTTCTCCCTTGAAGCCATATGGGGTGGCAGGGAGAAACTTCATTTCGGATTCAAGTACAGTTTGGGGAAGGTAGCTGCTGCAGCTCAGACTCTAGCCCTCACCTGGGGGAGATTGGGCGGGGACAGGTGCTGTGGACCTATCCCTGGCTTGGGGTCAGCTGCTGGGTATCCCGTGTTCTGGGCTGGAGCCAGAATTGCTGTAGGGGAAAGATAGTGACTGGAGGGCAAGGCTGCAGTGGGGAGAAGCAGGCTGCTCTGCCTGTTTTCAGCGTTGCTTGTCCAATGCTGTCGCTCTGCTAATTGCAGTTTGGGGGTGGGGGAGGAAGCAAATTTTTTTTAGACTACCTTTGCAATAATTAGGCTATACATGGGTGGGGAGGGAGAAGAAATATAAGTTTATAATATATTCTATACATAAAAACAAATTACTGGGGCAGGGAGCTCTTAAACAAATCCAAGACTACATATGTTCTAAGTATAGGATCTTCTCCTGAATTCCTTCTCGCAGCTTATTCTTTCCAGATGACTTTTTTTTTTTCTTTCTTTAGCCTCTTGTTCTAAATATATAATTTTGGACTCTGGCACACCCACACAACACTCTGGTATGGAGTTTTTAAATGGTTACTGTTTAAAGTGTGGCCCAGGAATGCAAGTGCCTGCCAAAGTGAGGTATACAGTGGAGTTCTCACTAAATGTCTTGTAGCGCAAACTCGACTTTTTTAAAAGTTACACTAATGGGAGCAGTGATCCAAGACGTCCATTGTATGTACAAACAAAACTTCCTCTTTTCTCATTAGAACAATTGGTGAGCAAACTCCTTGGGTGGAATTTCTCTTCTTTTCAAAAATTTGCATTGGTTACCTAGGCCAGGAAAGTAGGCCTGTGCGAAGTAGCCAATATTTGATTTGGATTTGGCTGATTTGGGGGACGGTGATCCAAATTGATTCGGCTGAATCTGATTCAAAAGATACGGTGCTGATTCAGTGATTTGGCCATAGACTATAATGGGGAATCGCTAAAATACCTACACCTCTTGTCTCTTTTGCAGAATTGAATTAAAACGGCACGGATGGCAGCCCCTTCTGAGGGCATGAAGCTTGCCAGGTTTCAAGGAGATAAGTGCAGGGGTTTCTGTGAAACTGCACCTCAAACTGTTGAAAAACTCATGTCATATGTAGAGCAGGATGAAAACAGCAGGGATGGTAGCCTGTAACGGGGGACCTTCACAGTGCAGGTTAGATCTCAGCCTGCCCACCTGTTTCTGGGCCAGCTGCCTGCCCCTCTTTCTCATGCTGTACTTTGATGGAAAACCGATTCAGATGTTACCCAGGTGGGAGGCTGCCCATTTTCTTAGGCTCTGTCTAAGGGGTGACATCTGTTCTGTAGCTCCATACCTCCCCTACACTGTGGCTCATACCTTGTAGATGGCATCCCAGGCAGCTAGGCTCATCTGGAGCTGCACAACTCCACTACAGCCAGTAAACTGTAGGCCTCTCAAAGACCTTGCAGGTCTGGGCTTTCCCTAGCCAGGGCTGAGTGCAGTGGCTGGATGTTTTCTGGCACCTGGTTCCCGCCTTTCACCAGGGAGGCTTGCAGTCCTGGCATTTCCTGGGGCTGCCATGACACTGGCAGTCCCACCAGGCCTCCCAACCCTGGCAGGGTGCAGTTTCAGGTCATGCCTAGGACCTGGGGTTGTCCTTTCTCATAGCCCCTGCCCAAAACTCCAAGCTTGTTCTGGCAAGGGAGCTCAGCAGGGACATGTTTCTCTACCAGCCAGGAGGGGTAGAACTACTGCCTCCAGCTCTGAGAGTGAGGCATTAAATGGTTGTCAAAGAAAATTTAAAAAAGCAAATAGGTGGGGAGTGAGGAGGGTGGCATTCATTCTGTCTGCATGTGGAGCTTGGGGAACCCTAGCAGCAGGACATTCACCTTCAGGAACACCAGCTGCTCCACCAAACCAGGATCCAAGGAGAGGTGTGGTGTGGTGACACCCCACCAGTAATGCTGAACACCCTCTTGTTTGGAACACTAGTTGGTGGACAGGTGTTCCCAGGCAATTGTGGCCTGATTCTGCCACACCTGGCTGCAGGTTTCCCAATAGGGCAAGGGGTCGCAGTGCAGTGGCTCCACATCCTCAGTTAGATGAGTAGCTACCAAGGCCTCTATGCTACCTGCTGGATGGTGGGATGTGGTGCCTTCTGGATCCCAAGCTTTTGAAGCAATGGCCTTGGCCCACATTGGAACTGGCTGCAGTGGAGACTGTCTCTAGTGGGTTATGGAATAGAGAAAATCCCACACAATTTACTGATTCGTTTTGACGCACTGGCTGGGGGAGTAGTTAGCTGATTGCACGATTTCACAATGATTACACACTTAATTTATACAACACAATTTTATTTTAAAACTCTTTGCTACGTATATAACACTGCTTAGCTTTAAGAAACACCACAAACATTAAAAACACAATAACTACATATATCAGAAACAATGCTCCGAATGCACTTCCTTCCCAAACAATGTTTTATAAGAATTAGTGTTACAAAAACAACTACAATTACAACTAAAAGTTAAATTTGAATCAATACTATTATTTTTCATAATATACTTACAATCCTAGAATTCCAAGAAGCCAAATACCAAAATATGGTTTTCCTTCAGTCCCTTTCGGGCGCTCCGCGGCTTCAGCGTGAACTAAGGGATTCGTGTTCACGGAGAGGCTTGATTAGGTGATCAATCTAATCCGACCTTATACTTGCGATTCTTCCTTCGTTGTTCTGCAAGTGAAGTCACCTCCAAATTGGGACAGTAAGTTACAGGTTTTTATTGAGTGAGCTGCCGTCATTGGGCTCCTCCTACTCAGTTCATCATAACTCCCAAATTTGGGCTCGGATCTTACTCAACAGAAATTACCTTTGTTGAGCATTTTTAAATTATTCTTGTGGAGACTTCCATATCACTGTAAATACTCTTTCTTAGCAATTTGGTTAAAAGGCCTTAGGCTTTGATGTCTCGGAATTTAGGATATTTACTTTCTTTGTAAAAAATTTCTAAAGGTACAATTTAGATTAAGGTTTTAGGCGAAGTCAGGACTTTTCGCACGTAGCTCCAAAACAATGAGCTAGATAAGGAGATGGATCCTATCTTTCCTGAAACTGGCTAATGGGCAATCTTTACAAACATTCAAACTATTTCATTCAATATGACACAATCCTTTTCAAGAAATGAGACTAGCAAGAGAAGCCAGTACCTTTTTGACATGCTGTTGCTTCCAGACAAATGGCTCACAAAAGGGAGAGAGGCTTCTCACAGAGCCCTATGCTGTTTCTATATCCCTCCCCCAGAGCTCTTTTGCCTTCCCCCTCCCCCCCACCCCCACACACAAATTCAAGGGGAAAAATCGGTCACTAGCAAGCTACAGATGTCAACATCAGAGCAGTCTGTTCCCCTGTCTTTTTTGTTTTCCTACAAGACCGCCTTCCAAATCGCTGAATCTTGTTATGAATAAATTCAGAGCTTTTATAGGTCTCCTATTTTTTTTTTTTTTTTCTCCAATGATTCGGCTGCCAAATCGGGCCAAGTCTTCTCCAAATCGAATCACTGACTCAAGCACACATCTCTACAAGAAAGCTGTCAGTCAATTTTCCTTTTTATAGCTTTAGACTTGGTAATCTTACTACAGTTTGTAAAACGTTTAATGAAGTAAGCACTTGTTTCAGACCAGAAGTGAAATCCATCTGACTGATTAGTTTAGTGAAGAAACTTACAGGCTGTCTTGATTTGTCTGTATCGCCATGTAGTGGAAGACTTCTTGAAAAGGGTGAAGGAGCCAAATATGGAGTGTGAGCATAAAGAAGGAATAGCCTGTGGGAGGACCACTCGAATCTTGTTAATTCAGTGACTCCTATGAACTACTTGGTCTTTTTCCAGCATTATGAATATATAATGGGTCTTCTGTGGGATAGTTTTAACTGTTTTAAAACTATGGCTGAAGAAAGTAAATGAGGAATTATTTACTTCTAAAAATACCCGATTGACTTGCTCTTCACTGTGGTTGCAGACATGATGGGAACACAGCAAACCTAGTACTGAGTAAATGGCTCAGAAATGCATGCTTTAAGTTCCAGCACTGCACACCTGAACATTCGGTGACTTGCATAGAAACCTTTATGAAGCACAGTAAATTTGGAAGCCACCTTAATGGTAGGGGATGGCAGCATGAAAACAAGAGATGGCTAAATTTTAGAAATGCATCCTTTTGTATTTCCTAAATAAATATTTTTTTTCTGATTAAAAATGAATAATGCCAAGCTTAACTGGATGATGAATGGCTATTGTGATGACTACTACGTACTAAAAACAAACAAAGACCCCCTTATGTACTCTTATAAACACTTGAGCTTTAGGCACCTAGTTTGAAATTGGAATATTTTTTTCACTTTTACAGCAGGAGCA